ATAGGTCCAGACTCACCTGGAGAACCCCACCAAGTACCACATCCAGCGCTCGCAGCAGCAGCAGGTGAAGCGCTACCTGGGGAAGCTCGGCTCTCAGGTGTTGAGCCTGCCCTGCCACAACCAGTCCTCAGACCACGGGGGCATGCCGCCAGGGCCGGGCAACAGCGCCCCCAACAGCCCCATGGCCCTACTGACCCTCAACACTAACTGCGAGAAAGAGGTGACTGCTTGTGAATCACTGTGTTCCTCATTATGACACTTATCTGTATGTCTTTTGACCTTTTATGTTGTCTTTTTATAGATGGATGATGTCATTGATGACATTATTAGTCTGGAGTCCAGTTACAGTGATGAAATCCTCAGCCTGATGGACCCAGGACTTCAGATGGCTAACGTATGTGTGTGTGTGATTAGCTTTCATACAGACTAAGCACTTCACTCTTTTGAAAGGTCAACCAATGAGAGCGTCTCAATGGTTTTTTTGGGGGTACAAATATCCAAATAAATTCTCTGATACTTGTGAAAAAACTAAATCTCAATCTTATTGGCTACAGTCCTTTGAATGCTAAATTGACATCTCTGCAATAACAGAACGTAAAGACAGACTATCTTTAGCTGTTTGCTCAAATTAACAAAGAAACAGTCTCACATTTAGGAGAACACTTCCTGGAGTCTTCTCTTCACCCTGATGTTTTCAGGCTACCAGCGAAGATTCAAGGAAATCACTGCACTCGCCAAAAGACAAGTCTCTCACATAACCTAAACATTTTTTAATTGTCACACTTTGAATTGGTGTGTAAAATTGAGAGCTATAGAAATTCTCTAAGATAGATTTTGTTTTTCTTTCGCACAGAGCCAGTGTCCCTGTTATCTGTCTTGTTGCTAAACTAAGCTAGGCTAATCAGCTGATTGCTGAAAACATTATAGAGTTATCAATCTTAAGTCAATAAGCAAATAGTTCAATTTCCCAAAATGTAGACCTATTGAAACAGTGTCATTACACTGATTTGCTTATAACAACACCTATTAAAGTTGACTGCACCATGGCCCTGTCACCACCCTTCCCATCATGCTCATCTTGTGATGCTGATTAGCATCTATACAGTGGAGGAGGGGGGGGGTTATCCTTGCTTAATGTCTTTGCTGTGTCCCCTCAGATCCCTGTGAATGCTAACCTCATGGACCTGTATGGTAATCAGGGTATGGCCCAGCAAGGTCTGCCCATCAGCAACTCCTGCCCTGCCAACCTGCCCAACGTCAAAAGGGAATACTCCGGTAAGCAGCACAGCCAAGGCAATTCTTGAAAAAAAACTTAAAGGGGACCTATCATGCAAAATGCACTTTTTGATTTCTTTTATACATAAATATGTGTGTCAGGTCGGTGTCAGGGAACTCACAAAGTGTCAGAAACTCTTTTCCTCCGTACCCAAATATCTAAAAACGGAGCTGATCCAGATTTGCGTCCGATATGACGTAATATCGGAGATGTGGACCCACGGCACTATCAGAAATGTTGCTATCGGAAAGAATGCCCGACGTGTTTTGGACGTAATATGGTCTTTGTTGACATTAGCAAGCATCACTAACACTCAGAGCTAACCTGTACTGGAGAGAGTATGTGTAAAAAAGCAGGAAATAAAAAAAGGAACTCACCTTGTGGTAAACCCGCAAGAGAAAAAGCATTTGATCTCCATACTGTTTCAGAAATAATCCTTGATGTGGTTTGGAACATGATATGGCATTTAATCACAGCAGCATTTAGCTGTATCTTGTAGAATTCTGAGCAGGCATTAGCTCCCCCTCCTCTTTTTTTATACTTAGGACCCTGAACCTGCAGTTCTCTAACAGGCCTGAAACAGAGGGATATGAGGGATGTCTAAAATACATGATCTGTTTAGTATTTTGAGCAAAACACATCACAGACATGTTTTTTATATATTTTTTAATATCTGAGACCCAAAATATATGCCTAAAAATAGCATAATAGGAGACCTTTAGGCAACGGGCTACTGTCATCAAAATACATCCAATATCTACAGATCTTAGAGCTGTGAAAATATGCATTAATATCCATTAATCTTTTCTTGCACGGAGAACATAAGGGCTCGAACAACCCACATGTTGCTCTGCTTTTCAGTGCACACCATAATGAAGCGTTTTAAAAATAACTTTCTGTGTGGGAAGTGTGCATGACTGACCTGTTTTTCAATGTATTTCTATCCATTCTGCACATTTTAATACTAAAAACAACATTTATTACAGTTTCACAATCCACGGCCCTCATGCACATGCTGGATAAATCTGGATCGTGCGGAACATACGACGACTATCAAAGTCCTGAAGGGTTCCCTGGGGGTGCGTACGGCTCATTAGCTTGAAACACATGTGTTATCCTTGCGCTGTACAGTTGATTATATTTGAATTAAAACTATTATCATTAATCAAACCTTTTTTTCTTAAATCAGAAGTTAGGGCGATGGCAAAGGAAAGGCAGAAGAAGGATAACCATAATCAGAGTGAGTTTTAATTGCACTTTAAATGCTCTTAATTATAACTCTGTTAATGTAAATGTAAAAGACTAATAGATGTAGTTAGTGTCATATGCTTATTTGCTTTATACAAATATATTTTCAGATGGTGTTTCGACAGCTCATCATAGACCTTTTCTCCTCTGTTTTGTTTCCTTTAGTTGAAAGAAGACGGCGGTTTAACATCAACGATCGAATCAAGGAATTGGGAACCTTAATTCCTAAATCCAATGACCCGTAAGTTTCCTATTTTATACACTGTACTTCTTTATTTGGTTATACAAGTGACATAATGATAAATCAATCACAATACGGTTAAAGGAATGAACACCTAAAATACAAATACCCACAAAATTATGATTTAATTGGTCAGATTATGGCTATATTTATCATACTTTCTGTTTGCATAGACACTTAAAGCGCCACTTAAAGCTCACTCTCCTCTCCCTCTGCCCTCTGACCTTGCCACTGGCTCTGGGAAGATCCCAGCAGCCTCTTTTGTTTTGTTCTCCACCCACGGTTGTTTTGCTTAACCCCAGCTGTGTGCTCCACCCACACATATACCGACACACACACAAACTCAGGGACCTCCTTTTACAAAGAGACCTCCATTTACATCTGAATCTGAACACCTGAATAATTATAAAAACAAATGGTAGATGGGCTTGTTTGCATAAACAATCTTAAAAACAACTATAAATGCATTACTTTAAGTTTGAATTCTTCAATCGTATAATAATCAGAGACAGAAAGATGTGTATCCGCCCTTAAGGCTTCCAACTGCTTCAACCTACACACCTCAGTATCGATTTTAGGGGTCAGCCTTATGACTGCTTGTGATCTCTCTGAGCTCCCCTGTAAACATGTATGATGCTGCTCTCAGTTCTGCAGAGAGCTCAGACTTCTGACTGCTGCTCACCTCTCTGACCTCCGGAGCCGCTCTGCTCCTCCTCATTATCCTCCTCTGTCTCTGTCAGATTCTCTTTCTGAATAGAGATGGCTTATTGCCGATTGTCTGACATCAAATCTAAAGGATATAAGAGACTGTGTAGGGTGGACTCATAATGCCCAGAGATGGCAAAAGTACACACATACTTCACTCAAGTAGAAGTAAAGAAACTAGTGTTTAAAAATACTCTGGTAAAAGTAGAAGTACTGACTAAACTTCTTTACTCAAGTAAAAGTAAAGAAGTATGGGTCTCAAAATGTACTTAAGTCAAAAGTACCCATAACCACCAACTGTTTTAAAGATTACCTGACCTCCCTTTATATTAATAGAACAGTAATGTCATTGTTAGCTAACGAATGTTTCGATGCTGAACAACGGCAACATGACAACGTTTTCATTGGTCCCTCTTCTTTAGAGAAGACCAGGAAATGATGGATACACGGATCGTGTTCAAATCAATAGGCACGCAATGACTCTAAATAATAATGATCACGCCACCAAACGCAGATTAAAACTAAAGTAACAAGCCTGTTTTGAAAATGTAAGAAGTAGAAAGTTCAGGTATTTGTGTTAAAAATGTAAGAAGTAAAAGTAAAAAGTCGTCAGAAAATAAATAGTGGAGTAAAGTACTGATACCAGAAAAATGTACTTAAGTACAGTAACAAAGTATTTGTACTCCACTACTTCCCATCTCTGATAATGCTTCCTTTGTGATTTCAGGGACATGCGCTGGAACAAAGGCACGATCCTGAAGGCGTCAGTGGACTACATCAGGAGACTACAGCGGGAGCAGCAGAGGGCCAAAGAGGTGGAGACTCGCCAGAAGAAGCTGGAGCATGCTAATCGTCATTTGCTGTTGAGGATACAGGTAAACAAAGCTTCATGACGTGTAGTGATCGGAAGGTACAATCATAGAGGTTATCGCAATGCTATTTGCAAGGTTATTTGATAGTAAAAGTAAAACTACAATATGTGTTGCATATATGTGTGAAAAAGAGACTCAGAATAAAACTGTTACCCTTTTATGAAAGAAGTCAAGCTTCAGGGAACAGAGCCGCTATTTCAGACAGCAAAGGCCACGAATGAGAGGAAGCAGACGTCTCTTTAGACTCTTGTAACTAATTGATCACATGACAGGAGGCATCAGGGTCTGCTGGATTCGGCTCAGCGGAAATCGATTGAATGATCACATTGTGCATTTAAGGTGCAGTAACTATAAAGATAATTGTATCGGTTCTTTAAATTAATTAGAACTAAATGTACACCTCAGCTAAACTATTTCCTGTGTAAATATGAAAGATATTATGGCAGAGATTGTCACACTTCACTGACTAAACTGTGAGTCTATGTGTTTTGCAGGAGTTGGAGATGCAGGCGCGGGCTCACGGTCTGGTCATCACGTCTTCGGCGCTCTGCTCGTCTGAACTGGCGGCCCGGTCCATTAAGCAGGAGCGCTCTCTGGAGGACTGTTGCCAGGAGCTGTACACGCTGCACCCCAACCACCAGCTCCTCCCAGACTGCACTGCAGAGCCGCCCGGCACCCTGGAGCTGAACGACGGCCACTCCAACTACCCCAAAGGTCCCTACAGCGTGCACGGCAAGCTGGGTTCCAAACTCAACGACATCCTCATGGAAGACACCCTGTCCCCGGTGAGAGGGGGGGACCCTTTGCTCTCGTCCGTCTCCCCCGACACCTCCAAGGACAGCAGTCGTAAGAGCAGTGTGAGCATGGATGAGAATGATGAGGTGTGTTAGCACCCCCTACTGGAGGACACCTGCATCTCCAACCTTCTCCACCCTGCTGCAAAGTGTTGCCGTCTGCAGCTTACTCACTCTGCTGGAGACGCTTCCTCCTGTGCGTGTCACTTGTTTGTTTATTTCTCCCCCCCGACAGTGTTTACATGTTTTTAATCTTTTCCATTTTTTTTTTTTTTGTGATATCTTTGTCTTTTCAAGCCCTCAACCTTGATTTCAAAGAATGATTATGAAGTACTTTTGCTTTAATCAAAACTTTGATGACAATGAGTTACAAAAATAGAAGTTTTTATATTTTAAATATATATATATGCATTCATCTTTGAATAGAGGCTAGATTATGTTTATTTCTATTGATTCCAACGAATCTAGGGAAGTTATAAATCATGGTCAGAGTTGTAGATATTTTGTCTTGAGATGAACACTGCTTTTTAAATCACTAGCAATAATAGAAGAAAACTATTTATTACTATAGTGCTTTACACTCCTCGTGTCTTAGATTGAACTTGAAGGTGCCAATGCCTTATTAAGATGGTGATGCATCGATGTTGTATTGCTATGCACATTTTTGGGCTGTTAGCTGAGTCTTTGTCAGTCTTCCAGTTGAAATGTCTTCCTTGGAAATTATAAATAATAATCATTTGTAGATTGTATCTTATTTATGTATCATTGTAAACAGGACTTTATGTAAACATTCACCTTAAAACATGTATTTATAACAAGGCATTTAAAAAGAGCCATTTTTTTTAATACATGAGATAATAATAAATAAAAGCTCACTAATGCGCAAGAAGCAGCACAACAATCCAGTAAATCTATTTGTGTCACACTGATCCATCCTTAACTATCCAGAGACGTGTGCCAGATATTTCTGAAGTATACGTTCCTCACTGCCAAAACCACGGAATACTTCAAACTTAACAAATATTTAAGAAAAGTATTATTTTTTGATAATGCATTCTCAAAAAATGTAAACTAAAAGAGCTGTTGTAGCCCTGACACACACACAAGAAGCACATTTCACTTGAAAATAATTCTATACCATTTTGATAGATAATTAATGCGAGAAGAAGATTAATCAGTTAGGCTTTTTTTTATTCTTGTCTGTAGTGATCAGACTAAAACAGCTGATAACACTGCTTATACTTCCGACCTGTGTTGATGCAAGTGCTGGGTTTTCTAACTGTCCCTCCATTTGCTAAATTATTGTTATTTGACACCACTGCGATGACCTTTCACCACATTTATTTTCCATGATGTGAACATTTTTATTGCCAAGGAGTATAAGGAGACTGCTTTGGGATTTTGTATGAAACGCATGTCAGAAACACTGGAATGACCTCTGTAATTTAAAACATGGTTTGTTCACATTTTTTTTTTTATTTAAGCATATTAACAATTGTATTTGGCTTTTCAAATGCATACAGAATATTGTATGTGATTGTAGGTTCTTTATGGTGTGCGGTTATTGTACATTTCAGCAGTTTGTGTTCAACAGTTGTAGCACATTGTATAGGTAAGCCTTTGTTTATACTTTCCTGCCATTACTGTTACAGCACAGCCTCCATTTTTGTTAAACTATGCAATGGTTGAAGTTGTGCCTGCAGAATAGCATCATGTCTCAACAATGTGATCTCCTTATGAAGTAGTCTAAAACAATGTCAATGTAGTTCTCTTTTTTAATTGATTTAAGTGCCTTACAGTCATTTCTGTTACCCTGGTGTTGAGGAGTTGTAGACAGTGATGCAAAACGTTGTTGATGTTAATACTGGTGTTTGGTGCTTTATGAATTAACTGAAGAGTGCCAAAGTGTTTTAGAAAGCAGTAGGAAAGGTGGTTTGTCAGTACAAGGAAACTCAAGAAGCCTCTCAGACTCAAGAGCCACCAACATGTCACGATGGAACCCCAAAGTGTTCAGTACTGAAAAGAAAAAGGCATTACGAAATAAATTATTATAATATAATCAAGTAAATCAATGAATTCTTAAGTAATTTAATAAATTATTAAAACTAATCAATGTTACATTTTATTTCATCGTTATTATGTTTCGTATTAAAAGTGTTTTATTTATTTGTTTTTAAAGTGTTTATTTTTTTCTTCTGTACAGATTATTTTTATTTCAAAGTGCCCTTTTTTTAAAGTTTGTTTTTGCTTAATAACTGCATTTTTCTCAATTACATTTTTATTTCAAAATCAGCACTAACGTCTTTATTCACTAATGTTAAACAACCCCTTAACTCTTGAGCCAATCGCTCAATTCTCCAAACAGCCTTAACAGCCACAACATTTCTCGAGCTAGCTCCCGTTAGCTAGAGCAACGGAAATGCTAAAACTAATACTGACTCGCTGCAGCAAACACACACGGTGTAAGGACAACTAACTATTATTCAACACAACATGGCTACATGCTACCCAGCTAACCAGCTAGGTTGGCTTGTAAACCTTGAATATATAGAGCCAGTGTTAACAGTATTAGCTTACTCATTCATTCAGAGTTATCTTATTACGTCTTTAAAATTATTCCATAGAAAAACACAAGTCATTTTGTAAAGAGGGAGAGCTCAATCATAAAAAGTTATAATTTGAAATAAAAAGGTGTCATTGTAGAAATTGCAATTATGTGAAAATAAATATTGATGAAACAACATTTAACAGAAGTGACTTGAATTTTGATAAGTTATAAATCATTATTAATATACTGGTTTAGGAATGGTCAGTCGGCCCACTAGGTTGGGTGAGAATAAAATATATTAACATTTTATATATATATATATATTTATCCCAACTACTCGATGGATGATACATTTCTAAAGATAATATTAGTGGTGCCCAGTGGATGAATCCTAATTAATTTGGTGATTCCATTATTGCCACCAACAGGTTGACATTTTTCGCTTTGGGTGAAATGTCTTAATTTCTGACCTCTTATTTGTAATATTGAACACATTGGGGCTCCACAGTGAGGGCGGGGTTTCCAAAGTTGTACTGAATATTCAGCATCTTTTCAGACTAGTATGGCTGTAGATCTAAGTGATGACTGCCAAAATGTGTTGCCAAAATGATATATAAAATATGTTTATGTAAAAGGTATAAATAGCTGTTTTTTAAAAGCGTAGCTCACGCACCTGTTAGTGGTGTTTTTCTCTTCTGTTGTAACAAGCAATAACACATGATAGCAATCAGCCATGACTTAACTAGGACAGTACTACTGGAAACAGTAGTTTGACACAAAAAACGTTATTAAAGATTTCCTGAGGTTACAACTACATCTCACTGTCTTAAACAGCAGGTGGAGAAAGCTTAGCTGATGTGGTCAGAAGCTACATTTAATGTACCTTCGGTTTTTCTGTCATGGGTGAATTAAGCTTTAAAGGACTGCACAATGGCCTTTATGGTGACACCAGTCCCAGCTACTGAGCCTTAACAGTGCAACACACACTGGCCTTTAACATTGCCATTTGACTGAACCCAGATCAGCCTTTTTTAATGGAATAGATCAATCATCTGAACCCTGCAATGTGACAGGTTACAAACGTCAGCATGTGATAGTGGGGGCAATTCATTAAAATATGTCCCTACGACTGATTTGATTGAATCTTCCTGTTGTTAATTAGTATGGCACATTATGGGTAAACCACTAATGAAGAACCATGTAAGCTCAATTTAGATTTCCTCCTTCTCATTCCTGTGGCTCACACAGACAACGTTCTCGGCTGATGTTGCTACTGTTCTTATTGTTACAGTTTAGATTAGATGAATGTAGCAGTAGTTACTGTAAGCACTGGTTTCAGATTACTGAACTCAAACCCTTGGTACTCAATGTTGAATTTATCTTGTGAGAAATATTAAAAGTTGCCTTTGAATGTTTGTAGATCTTGTGTTTTTCTTCACAGTTTTTGTTAAATGTGTAATGATTTATTTATTTATGTTTGCCTATACAACATTTAAAATCAGTATTCAAACATAAAATAAATGGTTTATAAGACACTATCATATAGTGATAAGCACATTAATATATTGACATTTTAAGTGTTTATTCATATTTTAATCCACAATAAATAATAATCCATAGGTGCCCACAGAAGGACTTTTATATCTTGCCGCATTTACACATGTTAATAACTATATTCTACTGTATCCACATACATTTATAGTATAAAATAAATGTGTAAAAAATGGGATTTACATTGAAAAGAACAGAACAATTGTAATCTGCATATTTATTTTAACAGAGAAATTGTGTTTGTTTTCTTCATACTATGTTACCATGAGGTCTTCAGATGCTCCTTGGTGGATTTGTGCACCAGAGCCAGGGTTTACTCCTAGAAACAGGCCCCTGTTGTCTACTGTGAGTAGCCCCCTCTGGTGGGCAACATGCACCATAATGGCGAAGATCATGTTCACCACCTCTCCATTTATCAACTACATCCTCTGTGCAGTCAGAAAATATGGAAATATAAAAACATATTTAGTAAATGTTAACGGTCAATAGGCCTATACATAATAAAACATATACTCAGACACTATTGCACAATGTGTAAGCTGTATAGGAAAGTGAAGAGTTTGGTAATAACTCCAAATGCCTTTTCAATAAGGCCCGTTTGTCAAACAGGCTGAAATTGTAAAGATTTTGAAATCAAGGAAACAATGTGCTATGCTTAGATGTTGTTGCCAAGAACTGAGGTAATTTTAGTATAAGGTGTTAATCAGCTTCAAATGACTTGAGACGTGTTTGGGAAAGGTTATCCATCTCAATAAACATTTGATTGCCTCTATTTCTTATAAATCTTGTTAAAGGTCCCATGTCATGCTTTGCTGGTTATTACCCGTCCCCTTGTGTGTTATGAAGGGTTTTATGCATGTAAACGGTCTGCAGAGTCAAAAACCCTCAAAGTACACCCTGTATAACACAGAATTTATTCTTTCTTTGCCGCTTGAGCGTTTAAGTGCCTGTGGGGAGATTTTAGGAGCTCCTGAAGTACTATTTTATAAACTTCTGAGTAAAAGATTAATGCTTTGGCACACATGATTATCCTGTGTGCACAATATCCTGACAAATCCGTATTCAGGAAATTCAAATGAGTCTGCTTATTATTTCTGTCTATTGTTTGTCTGTAGTGTTTTTATATCTTGACAACATAGCTTGTCAAACAAAGGATTTTTAACTGTCAAATACATATTGTTTGAGCCCATTGCAACAGGATAATTAGTTTCTGTTTGGAACTAAATTACCATCTACGATATCATAATTATGGTCTTAGCAAACAAACCTTTTTTTTCACATCAGCAGGAACTGCAAGATAATTATGTCTGTAGAAAATCCTGAAAAACAATGGGAAGCATTAATTGTGCTTCACAAATGGTTGGCAGTAGGCTAGCAGTGAATTACACTTCATTCACGGGCTACCACGTCCACATGCATTACATCATTGGTATCATCCTCTTGATTAATTTTAAACCAATGATGAGCACCTTTAACAAATCTCCCATTCAATTAGAGAGTATTTTTACTTTCATTTCGGTGCTTTATTTAATTTATGAAGAGCTAACCTGTTAAACCCCATCCCTGTTTTTCAGGTCTCAGGCTCTAAAATGACATTTCCAGAACAAATGACCATAACTACAAAGGGGAAAATTAATAATCTTTTTTGTCAAAGCAATGATAAACCCGTGAGTTGGATGTAGAAAAGTCAGAATCAATATAGATGTTTTTATTTCTGATTGAACATAGTAAAAAACTGTAAATTATAGTGTCCGTCCAAAGATTATTTTGTACTTATAGTGAAAACCACCCTTGAATGATCGGACGGTAGACTAAAAGCTTTAGGAATCCAAAGTACAACATATTCCTAATCTTCCTAATTCCTAATATCCTGCGTACCCTGTATCAAGATTGATGCAAAACAAGTGACATTTGACATTTTTAGAGAGGTTTAGCAAAAGAAACTCCACCTCTGGGGTCATTTGGGTGGAAATGGGCGTTTTTGCCGTTTCTCTGGAACCCATTGGTCGATTTTGATGATTGACATCTCTTTTTAGAGCCAATAGAATCGAAGGGGAATTTCCACACACACACCAACGTTACCATTGTGAAGTGGGGCGATGTGCATGCAGTTTGCCTGAAGCGAAACCTGTCTCACGCTCTCATTTAATTATTGTTTAATCTTCCTTTGTTTATAAATTTTTTTATCGGGATCTGAAGTTCATAGAACGCGTCGCGCTGCTGAAAATCTTGTGTACAGATGGGATGGAGGTGGTATCTGAAGGGCGGGTCTGTGTACGTGGATTTATTTTATCTGTATTAATCTCCTTTTATTTCTAAATTTGTATGTGTAGTTGTGTTAGTTCCGAGTACCAGATAGCGTTTCGGGGGTCTGGTCCTGTTTTTCTATAACCACACCGTCAGTGCTTTGGGATAATGATGAGTTTGATCTTTATATGTATAACACAAAATTCTTCGAACAAGACACACTGTTGCTTTGTTTACTCTTTTAGCACAACCAAATTTGGTGCTTAATTTATTCTAATGTAAAATAAAACCACTGCATAATGATAGCATTTAACAGCCACTCTAAACCCACGTTAGGGTTGGTTAGTGTATTAATGCGACATTAGTCTCAAATGGCGGTGGCCCCTACCCCAAGGTTGTCCCAAAAATTCGGCAGAACCTCCCGAAGCAATTATAAATTAATTTGTACCTTTACCAAACTATAGGTACTGTCCTTTTAGTCGATTGACCTTAAAAAATTTAAAAAAATAAACGTTTTTTTGTGTGTTTCGATTACGACTCGGAGATTTAATTCGGGTGTCCGCCTTTTTTACAGAATTGCGACTCACGTGTTCTTTTGTTCCATATTGTTGAATAAGAATAGCAACTTGACCGTTTAAGCTTGGGTGAGCTAATGCGTTAGCATCTCCCATTGTGTCTTAGCTATCCATAGTAGTCTAGGAGTAGGTACTATTCTCGAGAACTGAAATAGTTTGTTTTTGTACTTAGTGAGTTTGTTTAGTAGCCGCGATCCATGCGGCTTGTGATCGTAATACAAAAATGGAAGCAGCACGCAGCTAGTTTTCAACATGGGAGTGACCGTAAGTTGTATTTTTGCAGCACGACTTACCAAATTAGTTATCCAATCTAGGTTGGTTCAGAACACAGTGAAACTTTACTAAAGACTATTAGGTACGTCGTTTATTTGGATGAAATTCAAANTTATTTGAAAAGTGGGCTCCTTAAAACATTAATACTGTGTTATATATATATATTTAAGGAGCACAATATGGCCCACACATGAAACTTGTGCTTTTCCTATATTGTGCTCCTTAAATATATATATATAACACAGTATTAATGTTTTAAGGAGCCCACTTTTCAAATAAATTCTGTCAAATAAAGTTGAAAACATTTTCAAAGACATCCTAGTTGATAAAAAAAGGAAATGTTTGTGTTGCAGCAGCATAAAAAGACACGGCATTGTACAATACAAATTAAAAGACTAGAAATAAACAAGAAAGTAGAAAATATACATGTTGAATTACAAATGTACAGTAACAAAATATATAGATATATATATAATATATAGATATTCAGTTTGGTTACAGATGCAACATGAGAAATACATTTTTTTGTCTTCGTATGCTTTCATTAATTTAAAAAGTCTAAACATGTTTAGATATATAGAGAATAAAAAGGATAAATATACCTCAAAGTCTGTCTCTAGTATTGCACCACTAACTCCAATATTAAAATAGACTTGGTACGGAGATCAAATCCGGAGATACATTATTCATTTTTCTTTTGAGACGCTTTCAAGTAATATTATCTCAAAACAGTGTCTGTACAAAACCATTTCTACATTTTTTTTTTAACGTATTCATATAGTCCACATAATTTAAGTGACAAAAATAACACGCACACCCGTCTCTGCACTTCCCTGCTTATAGATACATTTGATTTCTGAGGATCATTAAGTCCCACGCAGCATTACAGATCCAGAAAAGCAAAACAAACTTCAGAGAGTGTTTGTCAGACTGTCACACATTTTAAATGGAGCAGTGCTGCTGCATCCCAGATGAGTCTATATTTAAACCAGCTGTCTATTACGTGAATCTCTAATTTATGCGAAAACAACAGTAAAAAGTTCATCAATAAATATAGAAACATAATAACTGTACAAACACGCATCAGCACTGACACTGTTTTTAAGATTAAGTCACATACTGTCATGTTATTTTTCACTTATATAAATAAAAGAAAAAATACCACAAAAAAAGATTGTTGATTGTAAACATACCTCATAAGGTTGGTATCCGAGCAGCTCAAGCATCATTTTAAGTAAAGTGATGCTTCCTATTTAAAAACCTCTGTTTAACTTTCTCTCTATTTCCTAACTATCTAACTTCTATCTAAACTAAGAAGTTCTGTAGCTGCTTCCCTCTCGCCTGCACAGGAAGACTAAGCCTTGCTGAGGAGAGGCACCACCAGCTCATCTTTTAAAGACAAGAAAGGTCATTAGTTATGCATATCAGGGAGGCACAATGAGCTTTTTCAAATGTGTGTTGTTTTATGTAAAATCTGAATTTATCACTTGATGTCAGGATGTGCTGCTAACAGTTAGTGCCTTTGTTTTGCAAGGCCACCTCTTTTACTGAAACTTGCCTGGGGCAGTTGCTTTGCCGCAGCCACTTTTTTTTTTTAACCCTGTGAATGCTAGGCAGTTCAACACAGCCAAAAATAACAACGTTTTTGTCTGCAGTAGCTCGCCTCTAAAGGTCATTTCTAATCAGGAACAACAGGCATAAACATCTCAAAGCCAACAAATAAGAGGCTACTTTTATTTTTACGTTTATGTATTTGTTCTGCTTAAGCTCAGAGGATTTGGGCTTATTAACAGAGCTGACGAGGTCACAGGCTCTTGACAAACTCTAAGCTACGGCTGACATTTCCTCTGCTTCTATGAAAACCCTATTGGACTGCACTCTACAGATGTGGTTATTATATCTCATGGAGTCTGATAAAAAATAAATAAAATGCTTTTACACATCTATTTCTGAGCATGGATACTCAATATGATCAAGATAATAATGTGACTCAAAACAAGTCCAAATGTGCGCTTAGTAGGGATGCCAGCGATTATTCGATTATTCGTTACAGTCTCCATAATCGAAAATTATTTTAAAAATTCGATTTTATTTATATATTTTTTATTATTATTTATTGTTTTTTTTCCTGGCTTAGTTTCAACCAAAATATAGACTAATGCTAATAATAATAATAATAATAGTATGAATAATTGTAAATGGCCATTGGTCACACCACCAGTTTGCTTACGTAAACTTGGAGGAGCCAGCAGCGCTGCCCTTCGTTGCGCGCCGCGGGGGGGGGGCGGCGGGGGGGGGCGTCGAATAATCGGTTATTATTCGCCCGGGCTGTCCGATTTTTGATTTTGATCATGGTCAGTTTCTGGCATCCCTAGGGCTGATCAATATACCAATATTATATAGAAGTTGTGATATGGACAGCATATGGTCTTACATTTTGGATAGTGTAATATGTTTTTCTGTTTTGAAAGACTCTTTTACAGTAAAATTATGCATTTCTCTTATCTTACTCAACTGTTACAGAGGTTTTATTATATGTTATTCAATTAGCCATTGTCTCCAAATGTCATTGTGTAAATATGTTGTGATGGCACCAAACAACAACCATACAATATCGTCTCAATATCGGTCAGAAATATTGTAATTTCTCCATATTGCACGTTTGTAATGGTGCATCTGTTTATCCTTTAGAAAATGTGTGACCTGTCACACCTCTTTGATTCTACCTCTCAGATGAATAAATATTAGGACTAGTCAGATCAAGCCAGGTTATCCGTCCTTATGTCTGTCTGTGACTATTGCATTTTTCCACTTCTCATCAGAGCAGAGAGTCTTTCACAGTCCCTTCTTCATGCTCAGAGACAGTATCATTGTTCTGCAGGGGGATACTCATGTGAGAGGTGCGTTAACATTTATCCCGCAGGTATGACGTCATTACAGGGTTGTAAAGCTGACACCGCTGAAGGGGACATATTTACAGCGCGCCATCCTCCATTGAGAAGAACCATGTCACGCTTTGGGCTCGTTTCAAACAATGAGAGTCTTTAATGTTGCTCACTACAACCCTTTAGTCTTTACTTTGTTCTCATTATGGTAGATAACTACTCTGTATCCTTAATGATGGTTATATTTCAAGGATAATCTACATGGTTCCAATAAAGCAGCTCCTCTGTAAAGCCACAGTCACCACTGGCTCGCAGGAATACTTTTAATACAAAATGATTTGCTTCTTACATTGTGGAGCACCTTGGCGCTAAACCTCAAAATAGACCTGGGCTGCAGAGTATTTAAACACCTAATCCTGATGGATAATACTTAAGCCATAAATAAGCAATCTAATTATTTGCATTCACATGCGTAAACTAAGGGTAAACAAACAGTGAATACTAGATGATTACTACTAAACTATACACTACACTACGACTGAATTTGGTTGGAGTTATCTGGAACAAAAGTTGGCACAATACCCAATTTCAATTTCTCTCTCATATGTTTTTTGTTGTTGTTGTTTTTGTTGGTATTATCTTTTCTGTTAATCATTTGGTCCATAACATGACGGGGAAAAATTTGTTATGTAGTGAGAACATATATCTTAGGAGATAAAATAATCAACACTTTATATCCCTATTTTGTATTCAGTCTAGACTCAAAAGTATAATAAAAAACCTTTTCAATTCCTCTTATTCAGTCTATTTGGGTATTTAACAATATGTTGAAGTTATTGAATATTGCATGTTTCCAATTGGTCAAGTGTGATTATGACCTGCTTTCTTTAAGGTTAATTACTTGACTAAAGCACAGCCATGACCACACAAGGCAATTATTCCCCTTTTAGTAAAAGCGGCATGTTATAATTTGCAGTCAGCTGCTATCATCATAAAAAAAAGTTAGTGGAACGCATACAAAAAGGAAACAGTTTATCTTGTCTGTCATCAGTTAGTCACCGCCATGGTTCCAACACTCGAGGTGTTCCCAAACGACCTCCAGGTTTACTGAGTATTCTGTCCGACTCCGAGTGGGAAAAATACTTTATTATTTAGCATCTGCTTGTGAGGAAAAGAGTAACCAGCAACTTTCCTGGTTTGACTCTGAAAACTTGCCAAGAACTGCATCTGACTTTGAAGACTTAAAGCAGGGGAGTCCAAACTTTTTTCACAGGGGGCCACATACATAACAATATACGAAGGGCTGGGCCACTCACAAGAGGTATACTGCCTCATAAGTTAAGTGATAAGTCAGCAAAATCAATCAAATGTAGGTAAAGTATGCTTGATACTTGAATATGCTTGAAGAAAACAAACAGCCTATCACAGCTCTCCATAGGGTTTCATTCTTTTGTTAGCAGCTCATTCCTTAACACAGAAACCTCAGATTTCTTATAACAAGAGGAAATATGAAGGGTATATTTCAAGCTTGTTATGTAAATAAGTCATTGGGCTTTTTTCTTATCATCTTAGATTTGTTAGAAATTGTTTTCAACTTTAATTGACTGAATGTATTTGAAACATTTGGCTTACTAACTCATGAATACTACCGTGTAATATATGTTTGCATATATATTTGAGAAGTACAATATGAGACACAAGTTTCAGTTGTGGTCCAAATTTCATTATATTTTTAGAATTTGATAAGGGCCGATTCAAAATGGCCCAAACAACAAAATAGTTTGGACACCCCTCGCTTAAAGGCTCACCTCACATCCTGCCTTATGGTAAACTGGTTAATTATGAGAAGTCAATCAATGAATTAATACAAATAGAGATGTGCAAACTCAGGTCTTCTTGGAAACTTGGAGTAATATTTTTTCCTGGTTCTTTTCTTTGCAGTTTTGTGAAATACTGGTTAACTTTCTTTAGAAACCACTCCAGTAGTAAATCCATTCAGCCATAACCAGGCTCTGAACACGTGAGCTAAACATAGGTAATAGGCACATGTTATATAGTTATATTTTGAATCCTAAAGCATTTTTTATTCATTTGACTGCATTTATGTACCCCACCCTGGCCACTTTGGGTTGTTTTGTACTTTCTTTTATCTATTTATGACACCACTTATCACAAGACGAATATTGAAAGTGTAATGCTTGTGACCTTAAACACCACAGCATTAGACATTCCAAGATTAGGGACGCTGAATTTCTTCTTTTTTTTTAGCAATGTGTTTTTCCTACTTTACTATTTTATAAATGATTAAACAACCCCATTTATCTTATGACCTGTTGTCAACCCATGCTATGAGGAACATTTACATCAAGATTTGTGTTACAAAGACCCACTGACTATTTCATTTCGACTTTGTTTGTGTGGATTTACAGAAGAAATTCACAAATCCGCACAATGGATAGCTGTTCATATCTAAACATTGAAAAATGATTACAATGTACAAAGGATTACTTCAGGAGCCCAATACAACAGTCAATCTCTTCTCTCAGTAAGAATAGACACACATATGTCCTTAAGGGCATTTTGTTCACAAGACAAAGCAAAAGGTGTCTCAATAAAAGAAAGACATACAAGTTTGTCTCCTAATCCACATGATGTTCTGACTGAGAAGGTTACTTTGAAATGATTCAGAGTTAAATGGATCAGTCCTTTGACCAAAAGAAACATATCTATTGATGCTAAGCGATGGTTAATTGAAGTTAAGGCTTAAGGACATTCTGAAGGGGATTATTATATATGATTTTTCAATATTGAGCGATTAATAGAGAACGCTTCACTAGTTACGCAATTATAAAAAAGTGGTTAAAAATCATAAATTGATTCAGTATTTAATATTTTTTCTTTGCTGGTTAAAGTCTCTTAAAGACTTTCATTTATTTCATGATAGTTAATGAGGTTTTTAATTTTTTTTTAAACAAACCAGCAGTTTTAATACATATATATATATATTTTTCTGACTGTATAGACTAAATTATGAATTAATTAGGCCATAAATAATGAGCAGATCCATTATGAAAATATCGTTAAAAAAAAGTGTAAATAGTAAATAAAAAAACTAAATAGTAAATCTCTGACATTGACTTAACCAGCTGCATTTATCTTTATCTCTACATAATGAGCACAAGTGGTTTCTCAAGCTTGTTTTTGTCCCGAGGGATCTCCTAAATGATCACTTATTAGATGATCTCACTGCTCTGAGTTTGTTATCACCCCCGGGGGGGCCGCAGACCTCTCGTTGGAACATCCCGGCCTTGTCGATACATACTGTAGCTTTTGTGAGTGTAACTTGGTCTTAGAGAGAAAAATGATCTGAGTTCAAAGACCCCGGCCAGTTTAAAAGGGTCCTTTTCATGGTGTATTTTACGAGTGGACACATCTGCACAGACTAGACTACTACAGGGTCTTTGTAACTGAACATACCGTATGTATAAGGAGTCTAAACATGCTGCTGTGTGTGTGTATAGCCACTGGTTTAACTAGATACATCTCTTATACCAATCATCCAGTTCTTCAGCTTGTTTAAGAGCCAATAGGCAGAATAATGGATTATCGAGAGGTCTTAGCGTCAGCAGGTCTTGAACTTTACTTTGCCCAACTTCACTAAATGTACTTGTTCGAAAATACACTGTTTGGATATGTGACGTTCACTGCTAACGCACAGCAACTGCAGCCATAGCAAACAAGAAAGCTTGTTGTTTACCAGCTTGCTTTTAGCCTTCCACAGCCCCGAGGGCAGCGTCTACTTAACCCTCAAAAGGGGTCCGATACACGCTGCAAAAACACACACAAAGCAGACTGCTGTGCTGCGAGAGGACGCAGGGTGAGAGCTCACAAACACTGATCTGTGTTTCTTTTTTTTATTTGCATGCTTTGGGCATTCCATGATGGTCCGACCAGGATACATTAACAAGAATGCCCCCATTTGCTACGCGGGCTAGAAGAATAGGCCACTTTGTCTCAGTTAAGCTGCTAACATGCTCTGTGGAAGCTGCAGACAACGACTGTGATGCTAATGTGAGCAGCAGCATCACGGCAACCTGCTGTCTGACGTATTGTCATGCTATTGTGCAAAAAAACACAGCTAATTACCAACGGAGCATAAACCTTGTGTCCTTAAATGATAAATGTTGTGGTACAATTAGCATAGATGCTAAGGAAGTAGGGTTTGACCATGTGGTTTGCTGGTTTACCGCTGTTGTATAACTGATAGTACATAAAACATGACTGTGACTAAATTACCAAATGAAACAATATTAGCTTATTTAAAAAAGCAATGAAAGTAACATTTTACTGTATGGTACATTTCAGACAATGATTGCACTACACCATGCACACTAAATATGTTAAAAATATAAAGTATCATGCCTTTTTTTTTTATCACAGATAACAAAAAGTACTTTTCTCTCAAGTGTCATGGCATTAACTCACAAATGCAGCTAACTGAGATATCTGTGGGGCATCTTTGTATACTCTCTGATGTGTACTGGTCACGAGCTACCCCGATGGTATAATCCATATGAAATGTTGTACAAGGGTAGAAGAGTACTTTGTTCTTTTTGTGGCACCATAAATCCTTAGAAAAATTAATCATTTTTCAACCCTTTTAGGAAGCTATCCTACATACATTTCAAAGCAGTGTTTTTTTTTTTCTTCTCTTAAATATGCCGTGGAATGGAGGCAGTGGGGGCTAATTACGAGCATTCTTCACTGAATTAGCGTTCGGTGTGTGGTAAGGCTGTGCTCGCCTTCGTCTTGATCCCTTAACTGATCCCTTACTTAGTCTCCAGAAGGTCAGAGGTCACTTGGTTAATTAAGGGTCCAATCAGTCTGTAGATAAACTCATCTGAGCTCAATGTTTGCACTTTTTTAAAGTTCCAGCAGCTCTGCCTGGTACCTCTGAGCTGTTCGTGCTAATCTACCCACAGACAGGGGAGTAGGTTAACCCAGCTCAACAGCGCCAAGCTTCAACGGCCTTTTCATTTCAAGGCCTTCAGTCAATGAAGAATGTCTGTAAGCTCTCGCTAAAGCAGAGAAATTACTCTAACTTGGTGTATTGTACACAGGGCGAGGGTTCGGGGTGCGGGGGGGGGGGGGCCTAAACCTCTCAAAGAGCAGTAGATTATGGAGAGAAGTCATGTTTATGCTTCAGAAGCAGGGCAATGTTTTCAATGGAGATACTGTATTTGTCCTTCTCTGCTGGCCCATGCTGCACACATCCAGGGTGATGAAAGAGGGGCTGAGCAAGCAACCATGAAATCTCAGGTTGTGTTGTGGATCAACAGAGATTACTCACTTTATCAGTGCTTTGTTTGACTCTTAATGTGCGGCCAAACAATTACAACTTTGATGTATACTCATGATCCCCAATTAAGTCATTATTCACTGACAAGAAACGTTTCGCTGTGGTATGAAAGTCAGATTTTTGCACAAAGTATTTCAAATTTGTAGCAAAAGGCAAAAATCCCCTTAAGTGTCATATATGTTTCCAAAATGGAAAACCTTGCATCCATGATTACACAGCTTTCTGAAAATAATGGTAGTGGAAATCAAACTGAAAGCTTAATTTGTCTCTTTCTTAGAAAATGGAAAACTCACAGGAGGTAAACACATGCACACCACAATATACGTGTGAGCATGTGTTCTCAAAACAAACGTTCTAAACATTTCCATTACATTAATGTAAAAACCAACTGCTCCAAAAAGGTACAAAACTGAATTTGAAGCAATCCACTTGAAAGTTTTGTCACTAACCCCTGCAAAAGAAACCAAACAAAAACTTTTTTGTGCAAATTACACACGTTTTTTATATTGATAAGCACTCAATTACATGAAAATCTACTATGCAGGTCAAAAAGATGTGACCGTAAAGCAGCAATTACACAGAAATCTGTATCCACATGTTCTCCGCCACACAACACATTTGTATCGATGTTTCAACAAGGATTATAAACTCTCAGAAAACACTTAAATAGTAGAAAAACTTACCAGACTGCCTTTGTAAAAATTATCCCTCAAACAAAACAGTGTCTACTCGTACAGAAAATCTCCACAGTCTCCTGTCCCTCGGACTGTGAGGGAATCAAAGCTATGAAAAGATGTGAATCTAGCTGAGCAAATAGGATTAAAGATGGCTAAATCCAAATGGCTGGAAGCACAGCATGCATTAAAGAGGAATTCTCTCAGGAAAGATAATCCCCATATACGCATTTTAACACACTTCACTCACTCCTGAGTTTTTTTACACACAGTCATAGTAAAACCACTATAGCCTGACTGTCCACACACACACACACACACACACACACACACACACACACACAGCATCTAATAATACAGCACTGCCTGGTCCATACAGACTGTAACCATGACACATGCAACTTCTCATTCCAGACGTGGAAACTTGACACTGTATTAAATGTGTCAGCGTGCTAATCATACATGCTGACATATATTATTTTCCTACCAATGTTTTTTTTTTTACCTTGAGCACCTCCATTGGTACCTGGGCAGCAGGCGGCAGACTGGCAGGGACGCTGACATTGATGGCAGGGGTCTGTGCCGCTGTGGTTTGTGGGTAATGGCAGGCCTCTTGTTTCTGCTGCTCCCGCCGCTCCTGCTCCTGAAGCTGCTCCCGCATCAGCTGCTGCCGCAACATGATGCGTGATGTCATGGCGGAGGAGCTCAGCGGGGGCTTGGAGGAGCCGTGCTGCTCCGAAGGGCTGCCGCAGAAAAGAAAAAAAAGATGCCAGATGAATGAGCAGAGACAGTGAGCGATTGTGGAGATAGTGATAACACAGAGAGGGTAGAGAGGGGTCGGACAGGGAAGGAGAGGTCAAGCAAAAAGAGAGGAGAGAGGAGGACGGTCAGAGAGCAGCAGAGGTAGAAGAAGATGAAGGGAGAGCAGATGGAATAAAAGGTTAATATGAGCGAAGGGCAGAGATCAAAAGGAACATCTTGACTGTTGAGCTGCAGAGATTTGATGGTTTTGATTTGCTAAGATAATGAGTGAGCGTAGATTCAGACTCGGGACAGGGATTTGAAAAGCACTAATGTTAAACTGGCAGGTTCCAGCCTGTCATGATGTTTTTGAATATTGGTTTGAGAAAAACAAGCACTTAGAAGAAGAGAAAAACAAGCACTTAGAAGACATAGCTATGGCCCTAGGATATGTTGATACTTTTTTTTTTGCTATCTTTTGACATTTAATGTATTAATTAGTAGATTAGGCCCTGTTTTTATGCAACTTCCAAGATATAGACTTGGTACAATTAAACCACTCAGCATTAATTAAAATGCTATTTTCAACAGATAAACTTTCTGATTCTGAATCAGAAGCAGAAACAGGTTTATCGCCAAGTGGGTTAACACATACGAGGATTTTTCCTTGGTACATGGTGCACATAAACACAGTTAAAGAAGATAGAAAGTAAACAAAACAACAAAACAATGAAATAAAAACAATTGAAACCTATTATAAGTTAAGATATGGGCAATTATTCACATGAAATCTGGATATACTGTAAAACTACGTGCAGAGTACGTATTATTAAAGTACTTCGAATAATACAATGAAAATAAAATATGTACAGTATTGTTATGGAAAGTGGATGAGAGTATACAAATGTGCAAAAATATTTGGAGGGTTGTGCAGAACTGGCAATACTTAGATTAAATAAATAAAAACAAGAAATACTTTGCATAGTGTGCATTGATGTAATGTAATGAAGATGTTTGAGAGCTCCTAGTGCATTAGAGGAATTAAACCTCAACAGAAAAGAGGAACAGGTTTCATAAAAGGTTGCTTCAGTTTTCCCACTCTCTTAAATTTAGACGGCTGCTCCCCAGACAGAGTCCTAAAATAGAGAGGCTCTGCTGAAGCAGAAGTTGCCGGGATGAAGCCTTCATCGAGTGAGCGATCCTTTTGACAAATCTCAGTAAAACGTCTGGCCAATCCAGCTGTGCAGTAATCGCACTAATTAGCCAGTGGAGTCAAACACAGCTTCGGTCTGCAGCGTATTCACTGGGTGTTGAACCCTCAGCATACCATCATTCTCCCCCCAGTGCTGCACATAATCTCATTGTCTGATTCCACGCCCACTGAACCCTGCACAAGAGCGAAAACACGCTACGGTGTAACAAAACGCCACATTTTCTGACTATTATCTACAGTCAAATCCGATTAGGTATTGCCCTTTAGCAGAAACATCTCTCATTCACTCCTGAAGACAATGCTGATACAGATACATTGATTATTGATCCTAGATAAATCAATTAACAAGTCGTTTTAATGAGGGGGTTAGAGCAGAACAAAGACTGGGGTTTTGTCTCTAAAAGTCCTGCAGCAGTTTGGGACCCTCAAATGTTTTTGTGTCAAGTTTCTTTGTACTTCTCCCGCTATAGAGAATCAGGTTTAGTGGTTATATTTATAATTCCTTTGTCTGTGTGACTTTAGGCGATTGTGTTTCCTTTCATCCCCTAAGTTTCGAACTAAAGTGACTGGATCCAATGTCAGCTTTTTTTTTGTTAATTTCCACTGCCTGAGCAGAAATCCTTTGATTTGTTTCTTTCTTTAATCTGTTTCACTGTTTGAGTGTTTGAATTTTACACAACAGTAGTTTTATTTCCTTTGCCCCCTCGTGTGTAGCTAGAACAAACATAAAAAGTGAATTTCTTTCCAAAAGCCCACATTTTTTAAATGCAAAATATGATGAGATACGATATTTACCACATTACTTCCTTAATTTCCTTAAATTCCTTAAACATTTTGGGATACTTTACAGTGTTTCCCCTAGGTTTACTGCTTTGGTGGGGGGGTGCTGCCTGAGCGGAAGGGGGGTGAGGCCGGCTGTCATTGGGATATATTTTTTTTGAATCCCCTGGAGCAGAGAGAGCAATATTGTTATTGATTAGTGCATCTGTGGTTAGGGTCAAAAACACTAAACTCACAACTTAAAATGAAAGTGTTTAGTTTATTTAATAAAAGAGCACATGTTCAATGTGAAAAGTGACAGTAGATATAGATTAGTTGCAATTTGGTTCCAATTTTTTTTTTTTATTATAAAAAAAAACAAAACATAATTTCTTCTTTTTTTTTAAACACCTTACAATGGTAGGGGAAACACTGCTTTAACTTGGAGTATGTCATTTCATTCTTATACGTCTATATTCAAATACAAATCAGAGGTAAATAAAGAAATGACATGTTGATTATTAATGCAAAATAAAATGAACAATACAATTATGATGTATTATTACACTGAATAAAACTGTTTCCGGCCAGTTTAAAAAGTAGTTGGAATATTTCCACCTTGACTAGCAGTGATTACAGTTATTTACAGCTAAATGCATCAATAATAATAATGCAATATTATAACATATATTTCTGAAATAATGTCTACTTTTACAAACTCTGATATTCACTATAATTAAAGCTTAACCCAGTGTAATGTCAATTAATGCTAGAAGCTCTGTTAGAACACAAGCTATTGGATTACACAGGATGTAATTTGTCATAAACCAAGGCAATGGCAAATATAAATCAGTGAGCTGCTTTAAGCGCTAGAGGAAAAGTGAGGAGTTCATCAAAGTTATTAGGATTCATAGTGTCGGAATAATAATATGCCTCTACCAAATGAAGTGCCAATACATCAAGAAGATGTTGAGATATTTCACTAGATAAGTTAAAACTTTAAGTGCTGGTAGCGCTAGACAAAATGTCAAGGATCACCAAAGATATTATGAATTATAATGTGTGCACAATGGATATCTACCAAATGCAAGACCTAGATTTTACAGTTATAATATGAACTGGCCAGTGCTCTCTGGTGGATCAAATATGTAATAGTATCACTGTTTTCCCTTTCCAGTAGTTAACAATAAGTGTGTTATATAGGTTTGTTTTTGCATGTAAACAGTCTGCAAAGGCTTAAATCCCAATTTCTCTCCCACACACAGACACACACGCACGCACGCACGCACGCACACACACACACACACACACACACACACACACACACACACACACACACACACACACACACCTGCCTGAAATGTCTTGATGGGACTCCTTTGTTTACTACCGCAACATAGTGACGTCACTATGTAACGTCACTATGTAACGTCACTATGTAACACTCGTTCTTCTATTGGCTAGCACTCCAACACATTGTACGTGATAGGCTAAGGGGCGGGACATCACAACAGAGCCGGCCAGCTAACCAGTCAGAGCAGACTGGTCTCTGGTTTCAGAAAGAGGGTGAAAAGAGGTGCTGCAGCACACAGGCAGTATGAGAAAAATAAAAACATTGTTTAACATTAAAGCAAGGAAATATGTCACAGTAGAGGCACCATGATAATCACCAAATACAAAAATGAACCTAAAACTGAGCAGAATATGTCCTCTTTAAATATATTTATGTTTTTTCCCTACTGGAATTTCTTGCAAATCAATAAATCTCTGATAAGCAGGTAAAATCAGCTATGTTTATCAATCAGGCCGTTAGTCTCCATTTAAAAATAGATGTTTACAATATAGCAAAGATTTAGTGAGAGTTGTAGCGCCTCATGATATCCTTTAATACATTTCTGATTATCTCTGTGTGTGTGTGTGTGTGTGTGTGTGTGTGTGTGTGTGTGTGTGTGTGTGTGTGTGTGTGTGTGTGTGTTCACTCCTCTCATGTTTGTGTATCTCAAAGGAGAAAAAATAAATAACAATGGCAGTACAGTGCTGAAGAGCCCCACCCACCCAACCCATGATTCCTCTGATTCGGCTCACTACAGCACTCCATCACACTCCATTATTAGCCAACTGTCAGAGCTGAGGCTTTGATGAAGGTATTACTGCCCAACAGCACTCAGAGAGATGAAGAAGCTTCACATCCTGAGTGAGGAGAGGCTAAAACACAATGTTTAAAGTAGAGAAAGACGTCTGATCTCTGTCCAAACTCTGAGCTGGTGGAAAAATAAAGTGCAGAACAGACACCACTTATACTGCTGCTGGTAACTGACTGGAGCTAATAGCGCTGCCTAATGGACACTAATGGTACAACAACAACTTCCTCTAAAAACTAATGTCATGGCAACCATGTATTTACTGTTAGAAAAATCGTTTTCAAACTCTTTTGTGATTATCCATTCAAAAAAGAGAGGGTATCAAAGTGACACAAAATCTTTATTGGTTCTCAAAATCAATGACAAATGTGTAAACAATGTCTTAACTTAACAAACAACTAAAAATGATGTTGATTATTAACCAGGACCAGTTTAAGCACCAACTGTTGCTCACTGCACGCGGAGAAATCTGCTGAAGCTGTTATCGTATTTACTTTACATAGTTCTCTGCGAACTGTACATGTTGTGTACATAATACTAATACAAAGTCATGCAAGCATGCAGAGACGCCATGCTCACAAAGGGTCAAATGAGCAGGGTCTGTGCACTTGCACTCCTACAGCCTCCATATTTATTTTATTTTTTTGCACCACCCACCCTTGGAGAACTATGAAAGTCATGCCGGTGGTGCAGCGCTGAAAGTGTGTCAAAGGTGGGAGTGTCCGGGGCCGGCCTGGACTCTCCAATCGCCTCACAGAGAGGAGAGGAGACCACTGATACACACTGCCCATCAACTAGCTGATTTAAAACACACACACAGTTTCCCTTGGAGGCATGAGTCCTGACTGTTCAGTGGACGACGTGCAGACAATCTGTAGTCACTGCATGT